AGGCATGATAGCAGGGGGACCCGAGGTGGCCGAGCGGATAGCGGAAAAATATGGCTATAGAAACATGGGACAGGTAGGTGGCATTCCGCTCCATCCAGAGTTCTCTTTGTGTTCTCTTGTTTTTGACAACTCTTAAAAGTGGGGCATGGTGGTTAGAAACAATGCGGGGTCAAACCTTGTCTGTGATTCTCTGGCTCAGTCCTCCTTTCTGTAGCTCTCAGACTAAGACAACTAGAGAGAAGCTGTAGGGAACAAAGAAACAAGACCAGGAGCAGGATGGTACAACAGGTGCGTCCTCGCTGTGTTTCCGCGGTTCATGTTCAGTTTGCGGGCTGGAGCCACAGGGAGCAGCCTCACAACCAGAGCAGTCTCATGCGCTTGGTCCTTTTGACGCACAAGTGAGACCGCTAGTGATGTTTGCTTTATGGTTTAGGAACTGAGTCCAAAAGGCCCACGGTCCAACACATACTTATGTTCCTCCTTCTCAGCGTTTTACTTGGCATACTGCGTTTTTAATTGAAAGCGTGTATATTTTCACACTACACTGAGGAAGATGGGGATTTTAGTGTTGCACTGCTCTGCTTATGTTGCACTGTATTATCCCTGTGAACATAATCATGACTGTCCATATCTAGGCCCACTGGATTAGCTGCCAGAAAACAGCACTGTTAAGTTCTGCATAGACTTGGGATGAATTCTGTTGTAGAAGTCCCCCAAATGTTGTTTTTTTTTGTATTCACTGATAGATGGGGCAAAGGTCTTCTAGGTTTCATGAGTAATGATGAATCACAGCTGCAAGACAAAATGTTGGAATAAGCTTGTCATATTTCACCAGACAAATTTAAGCCACTATCTTACTACACCAAGTATATGAGTGCAGCTACAGAGTTAAGAGCCTTTAGTATTCATTATATCTGGCACTTGAGGCCAAATGCAGGTGTTTGTGTTTAGCAGAGTCTAAAGGAAGTCCTAACCACAGATGTAAAACATACAATGATGACAAACACTGGTACGGGTCAAGGAGGGGGAATTTATCCAAGCACTTTGACATAGGTTTAACGAGAAACCCTGTGTTCTTTGTGGATAAAAGAAATGCTCCACACCAACATGGACCTCACACATGCTCCAGAGTATCATGACTAAACTATGCAGGGTAGTTCAAGCCTGCACTTGCCAGCGCTTGACGTGAAGGCGGCGTGGAACAGAGTGGGCCATTCTGACAGGTTGTTGTGGGGTAGCCTAGTCAACAGCTATTCAACCTCCCCTCCCTCATCCAGCCCGCCCACCCACTACACTCCCCAGAGAGCAGGCCTTAATGGCCTCGTTTATCCCCTCTCTTTGACGGGAACTAATGTGTAGAGTCCCTCCTCTATAGCAGCCCCCCATAGGAATTCCCATGTGGAGTGTAGTTTCCCCTCAACCCCCACCATTCTCCCTAATTTCCATCTCAATATGCAGGTTCATTGGACTTTGACACCTCATAGACAACACTTTTACTTCACTTCCTGGTTTTGGGGTCAGCTGAAAGCCGCTCCCATGGGAGCAATAACAGCACACTCTGGTTTCCTAATGTGAACTTTGACATCATAAACCCCCTCCCTCTCATATCAGTGCAGCAATGATTTATAAGGAGGAAGAAATCTACTGCTGTAGATTGCTAAGAAATGCACAAGTGTTTTTCAAATGACTGGACTATTCATAACGATTGGACAGATTGTGACATGATTTGGGGATATAACTGCTAAATGAGAAAAGGTTGTGAGGGATGCAAAGCAGTTAAAGAGAGAAAAGGTGGATGGTAGAGAAAATGTGAATCAGGGACAATATAGTCTTCTTGATGGGGGTTGAAAGAAGGAAACAGACAAAGATAACCACACACTGGGAGATAGAAGGATGAGGGAATGGATGGATGGATGAAAAGAGTTGGCATGGAGTGAGAGAGCACCTTGTTGGGGAATTCTGGGTAATCCTCTTAAGCATAGAGCCCCTTCCCAGGCTAAGACTCTGGCCCAAACTGAGTCTAAATCAGCTGACAAGGCCCCGGATGTGGATGTCAGTTCAAACTGGTGTTTTGAAGAGATGGGAGACAACATGGAGCCAGTGAGAGGGAGGATGATGTTCAGAGACTAGACATGGACTAGGACATGGCTGCATAAATAACACGTTATGAGATTTATTTGTACAGGTTGTACTGATACTGCATCAGTTTTCGATGGCATCAGGCCAGCAGGGTGTTGTTAATGGAAAGGCTGTAAGACTGCAGCATCTGCATTATGGAGAAAACAGATTTTGTAAATCCATTCACACTCCTGTACACACATGAGATTTTTATTTATTTCTCCTCTTCATCAATAACAGATTCTTGGCACATGTGCCTGATCTTGTTTTCTTGTCATGCCTGGTTTTTGTCCTGTGGTTTAATGTGGACAGAAAGCACTAATCTGAGGCACACTTCAGGCAAAACTGCTTTCCCAGTTTCCCAGTTATTCCTATTGACATGGGAAAAATCTTATCATCTGTTGGCAGTACCTGGGTCAACTCTGTGACATGGAAGTTTAAAGCATCTGGTGGAGAAAAAAAAAGTGTGAAGCAAGATAATATGAACAACAGAAGTGTGAGTTGTTTCACTTCGCTAATTTGTCACAAAAGTTCCCAGCTGCAAAAGTTTAAAAACAATTTGTGATTCACTGTGCAGGTTATTGCATCAGAGTGATAATTCTATTGAGTACATAACCCCTGTGTGTTCGTCTGATCATGTGTTGTCATAACTACAACAGTAACAAACTTAAGCCGTGTTTGTAGACTAGAGCTCAGAGTAAAAATAAGATCAAATGTGAGATGGTGTTGAACCTGTGATTTAAATATTCTGAATGTGAAAATGTCTCAGTGAAATTGGAATGAGTTGGTCATTTTTTATGCCTGTGGTAGTTTTGACCTGGACGTCAGGTTTTTAGGTTGTGTGTAGAGTTTTTTTCAGCAGCTCCTATTTGCAGACACTCCTAGAGGGAAGGGTGGCCTGCTAATGGCAGTGCAGATTAAATAGACAGTGGCAGCATGATATGTTGAGACCTGTTTACACCGTGAGAAACATCCAAAGTGGTAGCTGCCTATTGTGGGAGCACTTTTTATTAGGTAGAATGCATTATAATCTGATTACCCAAGGCCTCTGATGTGTGCAGCATGGTGAGCTAATGTTTGGGCTTTCCAGCTAGGCCTGTTGGCACTTTATTGTTTCTCATTTTATCAATCTTTAAGTTGGAGAAGGTAAGTGCATGAACATTGAGCTGAAAGCTGATCTAACCCTCTGTGTGGTGGTGAAGCTGAGCCACGGATCGGTGACACGGCACAGGAGCCTTGGCAGCCATGATAGTTTGATCATAGAGGGATTGTATGCTCTTTATCAATTATTAAAAGTAATCACCGTCCAGCAACTGGCGTCCGTCTGTGGATCCTGTGGCCTCTTCAGCAGTCTTGTCACTCAAGTCTGTTTGTGTGTGTGTGTGTGTGTGTGTGTATTTGTTTGGCTCTGTGTTTTTTTTTAATGTCTCAAGCTCAACAAAACCTTATGTGTACACTCTCTCTCTCTCTCTCTCTCTCTCCCTCTCTCTCATTTTCTATACCGCTTAGGCCCGAACGGGGTCGTGGGGCTTATGAACACTAATGAGAAAAAACAAACATTAATACAACATGAAAAAATGTCACCTTACAAGTTTAAGAAAAGGAACTTCTCTAAAAGCACTTTAATAAAGCACCTTTCAACTACTTCAGCACAGTTTACCCTCATCAGTAATGACTGCATGTGTATGAGGTGATTACAATATGTGTCTGATCTTTGCTTCAGCTGTGCAATGCAAGCGTCTAGAATATCAATCGCAAAACTGTTACTATTGATCGGTTTTAGGACATTGTCTTGTTTTTATGGTTAAACTAATGAGGAATCCCAAGGTTGTAGAAAAGTTATGTAATAAATATATACAAGTCTCTTAAGCTTCTGTACATGTGTTTTACAGATTGGGGATCTTAAAGACCACTATCACTTTTTCCATAGTCGGACCATCAAGAGGTCAACCTTGTCCAGCCATGGTCGCCATAGTTTCATCTCCATGGAGCCCAAGGTAAGCTTGTTGTACTGTTTTGTGAATTTTGGTTTAGAAACAAAGTAGTTCAGAAAACATAGTTAGTATTTTATTGAAATGATACTGGAAATTTCAACAAAATAATCTTCGCAAAAGGCCTGCATCCTAGCTTTCCTTCAGCTCTTACTTTGGTCATCAGTTGTCATGGAGACGGTCCAGTTGTCATCTCATGACCCAGCTGTACAATTAATTGTTTGTGATCTCGATTCAGACCTCTATGTGATCTCATTTTCACGTGACGATGATTGTGCCGTGTTTGAAATCCGTTACACGAAGCGAAGGGCTTCCTTTTCCTCGCTAAGCTGCATTAATAACAGGTATGTGTTGCATCACGTGATGAGCTGTTCAAAACCAATCCAACATGTAGAGAAGACAACAACAGTCAGAGGCGTACAGTGCTAGCAGAGTCTTCCAGCTCCCAGTGCTACACGATAGACTTGTACCACCACTCGAAATGTCACTACAAAACACAATATGAACACGTCCAGACATTTTGCCAAATTTGTTAATGTTTTTCAGACGGGCTTTTCTGACTAAGGTTTTCTGTTCACTATTTGTCATTGTCTTCATTGTGCATGTGTGTGTACGATACATTTGTTTATCATTTAAATTCCCAGTTTAATTAGCCTCTGACAATAAGTAGGGCAGTGGCTGACTGATATTATTTTATCTGTATGGTAGCCTACTGATGAGGTGTGACACACCAGCTGATCGTATGCTATAATCATTATTTCTTAAAAAAAAAAAAATGTGTTCCTGACATTTCACATTGTACTGATCACAGTCCTGATAGACGAGATGTGATAAATGAGCCATATTGGGCCACTTTTCCTTTTCACAAATCCGGCAACTTACAGTCTCAAAGATTTGCACAAAACACTGCGCTATTTTTTGCTAGCCTGAACTTATGTCATGCTCATTTTGAAGTGGTCACTCATCACTGGCCAGTGGGTGTAACTAAAGACAGAATCTTATCAAAATGTATAATGGTTGTAACATGTGGTTTTATTTATTTTGTAGCCCATCATTTTCTTCGTGAAGTATGTTATATATCCAGCCGAGATGGTCACCTGAACAGCTTCTTTTTTTTGTTGTTGTTTTTGGGTGAACTGTCCCTTTAAACATGAGTTTTGACTTGAGGTAAACCCTACTCTTGTCTTGTCAATGCTCCTCTCATCACTGCATGAGGTCAGCAAACCTTGACTGCATTATTTATGAAGCCTGAACCCCACAGCACTCTGAACTTCATCTAAGTCAGCAGGATTGGGGAGGGGGGGTGGTCAATATAGGCACAAGACTTTCATTAGTTCTGTTTAGATTTATGTGGGTAGAGTGCTAACATCAGTAGTTTCTGATGGGTTTTAAGGATAAATTTGGGGAAATGTCTCATTTGTGACATCCTAATGCATTTTGTCATACTTGTATCTGACACACACACTTTACTTGTTGATGTCGTCCTCTTTCACAAGGGTCTTAGAGGTTCCTGGGAAAACGAGATGAGACTCTGCAGATCCATAACATTCAAACATAAAGTATCCAGTTTATATTAACCCTGAAAAATAGGCTTTTTGAGAATGAGGGTTTTCATCTGTGCATTAATGACTGTGTGTTTGTGCTTTGAACAGTGGATTGAAGTGCATGCGAGTTTGTTTGTATCTGTGCATGCACATGAATGCATGCTGACTGCTGAGGAATGCTAATGATGCATCAGCGTGATTATATAAAGGAGGAAGAAAACAGAAAAACGGTGGGTGCCTGTTACCTTCTGTTATCTACTCATCTTGTCGTCTCTCGCATTGTTTTTCTATTTTCTTTCCTTTCTCAACTTTTTTTTGTTCCACTCAGCTTGTTTTGTCCACTTGCTGTCCTTTACCTATCATCCCTTTTCTTTCCTCTTCCTCAGACTCCCTCGCCTACCTCCCTTTCTCACTGTTGCTTTCATTGTACTTGTCTCCCCCGTCGGCCTTGGGTTCTCTTGCTCTCTTGGGCCTGACAGTGTGCCATGGAGGTGGAAGGTTTGTTCCTTGTGCCAGCTGGCTGAGACACTTTTAGAAGACTAAATTTGAGAGGAGAGGTTAAAAGAGAAAACATGGAAAACAAGCTCTTACAATAGCAGGAGAGTGAGGAGGAGCTGCAGAGAGAAGGAAAGAGGAGACAGATGGATTAGAGAAACCAAATAAAGGAAAAGCAGAGTGGAGAGCAATGAAACTGTCAGTGTTTTCCCCAGAGTTGCTGTCCTGTCCATCAGTGTAATCTTTGGGGCCTGTCTGTGGGTATGGAACCAACATGGTGGCTAGTTTGGCATCCTGCTAATGATGTTTTGTAATAATGACAGCCATACGTGTTTGTGTGCGTCACATGGGTGTAGCGGTGCCATGAAAGGCACACCCTGCCATCCACAGCACTCACTGGTACATGTTTCTATGGTGATGCAGCACAGCACAGATTACCACTTTATGGCATCCGCCAAACTGCGGTGTCACTTGCTTCTTCGGTCAAAGACCTCACATTTTTCTAGGCTGGTGAACGACTCTGTCAAGGCCACCGGCCTGGAGGCGGTGTGTGTCTTCATCTTGATAACTGCACGTCTCTAACCATTCTGTTTGACAAGATTTTTGTCCATTTATTTATTTTTTTGTCAGCATTTCTTTTCAGATTGTGATAGTATAATGTTGTCTCAAATTTTATTTTTAAATAAACTGTCTTTACATTTCATCAAGAAGAAATTAGGGGTTTGTTTGTACACTTTAGGTGTTGTTTCACATCTTCAATGTACAATCAAAGTTCTGTATGTTTTAAGCAGCACTCAGCTTGCACCTTGCTCAGCTGTACTCATGTGCACCCATGACTCATTCATACTGGGAGTTCCAAGAGAGTTTGGATGGTTGGGATGGCCCCAGATTTTTTTTTTTTTTTTTTTTTGCAGCTCTGCTCTGTTATTAGTTTTTGGTGTGAAATCAGTTCAAGTATACTCAGTCTACTTTGTTTCCAGCTATTTCAAGTTGACTGTAAACAACAATTAGAATACTGCAGTGGCTGTTTCTCCTTTTATAATGTCCTTTTGAAGACTGTGCGAGGATTAGTAGAAAGAAACAACTGCTGAGCGCCTCCACGGCATTGTGGTGTTTCCAGTGATTTCACTTAGCAAGACTCTGGTTCACTTGTAGTCATTTACCCAGATGTGCCGAAAAACCGAGTCAGGTGTGGTCTGCAGCTGAATTCTCGCCGGGATATTCTGCAATGCAGCGATGACAAAATGAGATTTCAGTGTTTTGTCATACTTGTATGTTGCAGACTTCTGGGAGTCCTGCCACGTAAGGAAAATACTTGCCACATACTAACACCACTTGAGTCGGCTCAAATGAGCTCAAATCCAATTAGTAATTGGTTAAAACTGTTGCAGTGTGCTCAGAATTGATCTGCAATGAGTCACAAGTTTTTTGTTTTTTTTTTTGTTTTTGTTTTTTTAATCACCCAGCTGCATTTAGAGTTCACTGTATTCATGAACATGCATCGAAGACAAGGACACTCATGGGACCTTGGGGGCAATTTACACATGCATCATATGCACATAGTCTCAGGTACTGATTTCCATAAGGCCAGGGTGTTTGTGTGACATTCTGCTCTATTTTTGCCTTACATTTGTCTAAAAGATGAAACATTAGGAAGTGACACCTTGACACGAGCACCTATGGCTGACCAGCACAGCACCACGGGGCTCAAGCTGTAAAAAGTTACTGTGTGCTGTGTTTGGGCTGAGGCTCTGAATTGCACTTAGTAGAAGAACATGCTTCTCATATCAGTCTGAAGGTTGTTCTGGGTGTTAGTCTTGGACCTTTTTTCTTTTTTTTAACTTGCAGCTCTCCGTTATTTTGCCTGCAACTCAAACAGCGTCTCAAAAACCAGCAGTGAAAGTGGATCAATTTGTTCCCATTTGTTCTATTGAAGTGAACTCTTCCCCAGTTTCCCCTGGTTACTGACCCAGCCAGCAAGAGCCACCTGCAAACCCTTACACAGAACGAATGAGAGAGAGAGAGAGAGAGAGCAAGAAAGAGTGGGAGGGAGGAAGGGGTTTGGAGTGGGAATGAGAGAAAGACAGGCAATCTTAGGGAGAAACTGGCATCTGCAGAGAAGAAGACCTACAAAGCAATGGAGAAGAGATGGCGAGGAAGAAGCAGATGAGGGAGAGAGATGAGATGAGTAGAAGAACGAGAGAGGGAAAGGAGTTGGACTATGACAGAGAAAACAAAGGAGGGTGACGGAGATTTACAGGTGATTCCAGGTCATTCCTCTGCTCCACCAAACATGGAACAGATCCAATCATCATGCCTCACTCTGCCAGCAAACTGCTGGCAGACATGGGCAATAATAGAGGGCAATATTGTCTTGTCTACAAGTAGATAGGCATTAGCAAATGTGACACAAATGATGAGGAGAACTGCCAGCTGCTACCAGTGAGTGATATTTACTGGGGACAACAAAGGATGGTATTGCCCGTGATTTAGAAAACACCATCAATCTGCCTCAGGTCATCCTGGAAATACAGGACTAAAAATAAGTCCAAGTAAAGAAATGCAAAGCCACCTTCAGCAGCAGCAGTATGAATATAAGTAAGGAACGACTTTAAAAGCAAAGTGAATTATTACTTTAGACTAATAGTAGAAGAGATTATACATTTAACACCAATGGACATGGAATGAGAAAACATGCATTTGACATTTTATCCACTGTTTTATTAGTGGATACACTTCTTACCCGTACAGTGTTTCCTCAGTGATCATTAGACTATGGTGGAACACAGCTGTTGTTGGAAAAAAAAAAAAAACAGTGGAAGTAGACTATTGGCCCTTCTGAGAGTAAAGTTAGAGTTGTTTAGATATTGTGATGTTAATGTCAGCATGCCCCACATTCCCACTGAAACCTCTGGACTTGTTTAGTTTTCCTCTGACTTTGTGCTGATACTGGTGGTGTCGGTCACACTTACAGCAGCTTCAGTAGTTTTCTTTTGGCTCCTGTTACGCTTCTTAAATGGAAAATGTGCAGAGGTGTGTGAAAATGATGACCCTGATGATCATCAGTAGTAGATGTAGAGTTACTGAATTCATTTTAACCTACATTAGATATAGACTAACAGGTTTAATATCCAGCTTTTACATCTGTGTTCTTCTATATAATGAAATTCAGAATAGTTGTTAGCCTGCCAAGTTTTGAGGGCAGTCAGATGAAAACATTTTTTTGTTTTTTTTGTTTGAACAGTTCATTTTTCAAGCAGCGTCGCTAAAGCTAAGGAAAGTCAGACAGTGTCCATACCAAAAAGTGCAGAAAGTACTGTTGAAGATAAAACAATGCATTAGTGTTTATGCCCCTTTTTTACTCACTAGGATGTGAAGTATATGGCAAAGGCTCTTTGGCAGTAAGATTCTTTGATTTATATTTTTGTTCATTTGGCCAATTCAGCAAAATGTAATGATTGTGTTTCCATTTTTTAACAACAATGGTCTGTGGCACAGACAAATGAGCTGATCCAAAGGGGTGGGACAGTATATCACAATACAAAAACATCACAAAATGTATTGCTTTGTCTAGCAATATATGTCGTGTGGGTTCTATACATGAGTGACTTCATATTTTGTGTAAATAAGAACAGAATGCAAGTCAGTATATCTAGTTGTTCTTTACATAATCAAACCAGTGCTAGAAAAGGGGAGAAATGAAGTCCAAGTATTCTACAGCTAGTCGTACATTGTTGTCATTTAATTTTTAATAGTATCGTGATCAAATCAAATTGTACACACCATATTGTGCATTGAATTGTTTAGAGAAAAACTGGGTGTCTCGTCCCCGCTGATCCAAATTGGAGACTGACGCATATTAAATGTGAGTAGAGGCAGTTCATTTTTGGTTATAGACTCCCTACGGGGATTGTTGAAAAGACTATTAATATACAAAATGACCAACCTTAACCTTTAAGTCTTGTCAGAGACATTTGAGATGAACCTCACAGTACTTGGGTTCTACCTTTAGCAGAATCATTTCTTCTTTTGCTAATGTATGCAAATTGTAATGATACACCAGTGGTTTGTGCAGCTACACTCGCCCACAGTTCCTGATGACGGTGTGTTTTTGAGGCTAATGGCGTGTGTAAGCGGTTGTTTTGAAGCCGATGGTCCTGACAGAACTTGGAGTGAAATGAGCCGCGACCTTATCAGATAGAAAAGCATCAGGTTGAAACATAATATCTCATTGTTTTGTTTTTTTAAACTCTTTCTGCCTCACTTTGCCGTATCTCATATCTGTCTGTTTTGAACAGGACGTCTACGCACTCGAGTCAACTACAGAACTCTTTTTTTTCTTTCCCCACCCTCTGTCACAATCTATAACAAGCCACATACTTAAGTTACTGAATCAATGCTATTTATGAAATCAATGATCCTCCCTTCACTTTGTCTCTTGGTCTATCTAGCTGTGTTTTCACTTCCCTCCATTTCCAGCTCAGTCTTTTTTTTTTTTTTATTGACTCTCCTGGGACTTGTTCTCTTCATCACCTCTTCTCTCATCTTATCTCGTCGCCTCGCTCTCCAACTCTCCAGAGAGCCTGGAAGATTGTTTCAGTGCATGAGACCGGATAATCACTCTGCAGTCATTATGCCAGCTATTCTCTTCTTCTCGTCTCTTTCTGCCGGAGCTGTATTGATGTGTAGAAATGCTTCATCTTTGCAGTTGGACATTGTTCAGTAAAGCCTCAGATTTCTGGGACTGGCAAACTGAGCAACAGAACAAAAATTGAAATTTATTCTACTGATTATCTGTTACAAGTGGAGTTTCTTTGTGCACATCATGCGCTTTAGGTTTACAGTAGATGCTGTGGTGATCATCTCAGTGGTGCACTTTAAAAAGCAGTAGCTCCACCACAGTTCATCTGAACATGAACACTTCCTAAAGTTAATGAATAAACCCCTAATATAGCCTGTGTAACCTGTCACTCAATCATGTCTGTGTGCAAACTTTAGTTTAAAGAATTACAACGGCGTGTTCATCTCATGCATTCTCTATGTATTGTGCCATCTTGTCCCTGCTAACATTTTGGTTTTTGTACAGTCACTGCTGGTACACGTAAGCTTTTCGTGGAATCTTTTAGAGAGATGAAGTCTGCAGGACTTCAGCTAGACTAAACACATTTCACAGTTTAAAAAAAAAACAGCTGAGCAAGGCCAAGCAAGTGGGTCCAGTCGTCCTGTTCAGATCCAACAATGCCGATTATGAAATTGGGAAAATTCCGTCTGAAAGTGGAGCAAGATTCCTGCCAAGGAATCCCTTGTGCCTTGAAGAGAGCCCATAACATTTGAGAGATTGATGTTACCTGAGAGGCATTTATGCTTTTTTTGTGTGTGTGTGTGTGTGTGTGTGTGTGTGTGTGTTAGTCTGACCAGTTTGCGGACAAGGAAAAGTGAACTTATGGAGAGAAAGGAAATTAGTCCAGAGAAAAATGCATTGGATTAAATTGACATACACTGTAATGTAATTTTTAGATTGTTAAAAGGATGCCTTATAGTAATAACATAATATATCAATGTCCTGGGGATGCTTCCTAAACGTATGTGTCCAGATTTACTTTGTTCTGTAATTTCTTTAGCTGGCTTTTTTTTTTATTTGGTAGTCTTCAAACATTTACCTTTTGCCAGATACATGTGAAGACCACATGTAAAACATTGTTCTAGTAAGGCAAAGAGGAAACATAGCTACTAGGGTTTCCGTTTTTTTAGGCGAAGATGCAGCACCGTATCTTTTCTAAAGGAATACCTTGAACACATTATTTGACAGGAATTCCCACCTGTTGACTGATGGTGCCTCCTGTGAAGTAATTCGACTACTGTGTGTTATTATTTGATGCCTGCTCAGCTTCTTCTATCTGTCTGTGTTTGTGTGCTCCAGGTGGAGTGGATACAGCAGCAGGTGGTGAAGAGGAGGATCAAGAGGGATTACAAACCATCCCCACCCCTTGCTCTATCAAGCTCCGCCCACAGCAGTCTGGCCCAGAGCAACGTATTCTATAATGACGCCAAGTGGAGCAGTATGTGGTACATTGTGAGTACACTGTATAATCACACCGGACGCCCGCTCTATGTTTACGGCACCAAGACAGGTGGAGCCCATACAGTTTAGTTGAGTCTGTGCTGTGCTCTGCAGTTCAGAGGGTTGCATGCTGCTTATGTTTATGCAGTCTGTGGGTCTAAGGTCAGCTGAGGTCACAGCACAGTCCTGATTACTGCATGGTCAGCAGAGCTGAGGGATTTGTGTGTTGTACTGAGAAGAAGAGCCACAGTGATGAAATTTGTCTCTTTCCTCAGTTTGCAAAGATACAGTTAAAAGTCAGCGTACGACGTTCTGTGTTTCTTACAGGAATGTCCTCACAAGTAGAAATATACACGCCTGTGTTCCCGCATTTCAAAATCACTTCTCGTCGATCGGCATTGTGCACACAGTCTCACAAACACTTGCATACGTAGTGCTTTTATATTCACACCACAGAGATTTGTGGGCTTATCACAAGTGTTTGCATACACCTTCGGATCATTGCTCTTATAGTTATGTATTTGTGTGTGTGTGTGTGTGTGTGTGTGTGTGTGTGGTTGAGTGCCCTTAGCTCTGTCAATTGTTAACTCAGTACAGATAACTCCTAATACTTTGACCAGAGTTTATAAAACATATTTTTCCAGGTTTAGCACAAGAGTCCAAACTTCCTGTGCTTGTTTTCAGGTTTAAATAGAAAAATGTTTCCTACAGTCATTTCTAACCAAGCTTCCTGATCTAGTCAATGCTTAGAACATTTCGTTTTGTCCAGATGTATATTTTTTATGCATATTTCAAATTAGTAAAGAGACTTATTCAAGAGATTTGCCCTTAATTGATTCATGCCAAAGATGTTACATTAATTTGTATCAATGATTTGCATTTTCATCCTGGAATTACATTGATGTTGATTACAAATTGTCACACTTGATAAGGATGTTTGTGACTTGTGGGAGGTCAAAGTTGTACCCCAGTGCATAATGACCTGAGGGCAGGGTAACAAGGACGCGGTGTCCAACTTTTCCTGTCTCTGATTTGATCTAATTTTGGGAGTTTTTTTCCATGCTGCTTGGTAGTTTCATGTATTCAACAATTTATCATTTTTCAACATGAGTTATTTATTTAAATAGTTAAATTAGTCATAATGTCTTGAGCTTGAAGTTTTTTTCCTCTCCAATTATATCTTTGTTGTGGTTGAGTCAGGCTGTGTGACTTTAACTTGGACTTAATTAAGATTGTGCCTTTTTATGACATTATAATGCTCATGCAAGTTTATTGGGACAGGACCTCACTCATCATGGACTCTTATGCAAACCTGTGTGTTTTCCTTCTCATCCTCTCTCTCTCATTCTGTTCTCTCCTCTCACACCCGCTTCCATCTGTCCAGCACTGTAACGATGACGTCCATAACTGCCAGTCGGACATGAACATCATGGGGGCGTGGAAGAGAGGCTACACAGGTAAAGACGTGGTGGTGACCATACTAGATGACGGCATCGAGCGGAACCACCCAGACCTTTTTCAGAACTACGTGAGTTTGTATGTATGCGTGTGTAGGGCAGCTATGAGTGGCTGTGTGCGTGTTGAGTGTCGGAGTGTTAATAAACCAGTAAGTGAAATGAAAGTGTTAATCTTTGTATACTGTGTGTTGGGTATAAGAATTTATATGTAACCTTTTGGAGTAAGTGATCGTCTGTGCATTTGTGTGTGCGGCTGTTGGTGTGTGATTAATGACTAACAAGTTGTAGGCTGTAAGTAGAAGTTAATTTTCCTTTAGGCATGTAACTTAGAGAAAGATAGGTTACAGAAATCAAATAATCAACTACATTGCACTAGTGGTTGTAGTCTGGATCAGATAATCATAGAATGCATTTCAAAGGGAAGCTTTCTCACACCTGTGGATGTGCAGCTGTGCTGTGAACATATTTATTTGGCCATGGTTGTGCATGTTGAGCTGTCTACCTGAAAGGTCAGATAGTTGAGTAACTTCTCAGCCTCAGGCAGCTGTGCAGCTGAAATGATTTGCTCCCTGTTTGACAGTGCCTGCGCTGCTGTTATTAGCTGCTCTTAATGCCTGGATTTGTTGATGCCAAAGGGTGGGAGCGACACGGCAGATTGAGTTAGCTCTGATTGCATTCGATTTACAAAAGTTTTGTGAGCGATGTTAATGTGAACTGTGCGACTGGGTTAGAGAAGCTTCTACAAGTCTGTTAATACTCGCTCCCACATACACCAGGGGTGTTGGATCTAATGAATTCACCTGTTTATGTAACCTTTTCTCACCCCCTGTTCATTGATCACCATGGCAACTGTCATTTTGGTGTTTGGCGTTCTTGTTGTGACCTCCGTGTCTCCTCCAGGACCCTCAAGCCAGCTTTGATGTCAACGGCAATGATATGGATCCCATGCCTCGATATGATGCAACAAACGAGAACAAGTAAGAAAAGAAAAATGTATTTCAGAACTAGTAAGAGAAAGAAATGTAATTGTAATGGGTGACATGTGGCTTTATTGTGTTGGTTTCACAGTCGCCCAAATGCTTTTCTGTGTGTCAGTGACTTTTATAGTTTTATTTATTTATTTTTACTAGAACCTCTGTGTGTTTGTATTTGCTAAGTCCCGACCTTGTAGTGTGTGTGTGATGAGTTATGTTACTGTACTTGATTATACATTTGTGGGTGGGTTGTGGTTTTTCTGTTTGGGAGAGAGAGTGTATGTGTGTGTGTGTGTGTGTGATGTATGTGGGTTGGCCTGCAGCAGCCTTGGCACCGGCTCGGTCCCTCCTGGTAAAGCATTGTCTTAAAGAGACATGAAGTCTACAGATGCAGCTTAATGAGCTGGGTTTCTTTTAATGCTCAATTCATACATGATAAGACATAATATGTGTGGACAGGAATCTGGTTTGCTTTCTTTGCCTTTCTCATATTAGTTTTTACACCAAATTCTTTTATGGGATCCCATGTCTCTCATGCGAGCCGAATACATGTGGACGGTTTTTGTGAGGTTGCCTGAAAAGCAAGGAGCGTGTTAGATATCTGAGGAATGGTACTAATTTTAGCTCCATCTGGCAAAGTGTAAACTGTTGTTGATCTATAAATTGTATAGTAACAAGAATAATGAAATGTTTTTGGATTTTAATCTCTTGTTGTCTATCTGTATGGGTTTAACAGCTGTTCTTTGGATCTAAGCAGGTAGAAAAAAGTAAGTACGTTCTGACTGCATCTTTCATACAGCCCTCTGTAATAACACATTTGGATACAGCAGCATCTGTTTTACCAGTGAAGGTCATTGTGTCTGCTGATTCTTAAATATTTTCCACAAGGACAATATGACAAATAAATGGAAAATGCTGTTATGATTGCGTTAGATGTCCTTATTTGAAAAAAGAAGAAGTGGTCACAGAATCAAAGAACAGTTGTTGTAAGCATGATTCACAAAGAACCAACAAATACGAGGTTTTACTTTGCTTGTTGAAGAGCGGGCAAAACAGCTGTTAATAAATAAATAAATAAATGAATAAATGAGGTGGTACCACAAGAGCCTTGTGAGTTTATCTGAGGGCAAGTCTGGAATCTTCCTCAAAGTTAAAAAGTATCTGTTTATGCATTTGAATAATTACTGTGTGCAAGTGGGTCTTGTTCCAACTTATCCATTGCACAAATGTTATATGGTTTTGGTTGAAACACAGATTTGCAAGTGACTGTGACACAGATGTGTAGAAAATGGAAAAATACGGGCAAACACAAAGACTGGAAAGACGGCCACGCAGGCCATTTTATGGATTAGTGGAGTGAAGTGAACCGACCTCGACTGTTTAAGTGTTTCAAAAGAGGGAACCAGCAGCTTGGCTCATTAACTGTGATAAAAGGGACCTATTGTGGATTTTCAGCCATTTAATGTTTTACTTTTACCCACAGGGTTTCATTTGTGTTTGTTTTTCTGTCAGGGTGTAAAGTATGCCCAATTAGGTCGAAGGTTTCCATATAAAGAGCTGAATTCCATATAAATTTATCCAAAATATATATCTTTATGTTTTCAATGTAATATAAATATATATATGTATATGTGTGTGTGTATGTGTGTGCCTGCAAATGTACTCTGAGACCTGTGAACTGAGAACTGCTAAAACCCTGTAAGAGTCAATTATCACAAGTGAGCAGTGGTGTTATTGACTTGGTGTAAAAGTGTCATTACGGTAAATACGCAAATCCATTTTCTTACTTAGAATAGATGAAAAGATGTCTGGCAAATAGTGGTTTATGTTGAGGACGTTACTGTGCTTTTGTTTTGTTTTGCCCCAGTGTAGAGCGTGAAAATCTGGTTGCTGTTGAGTAAAAGTTATTTGTATGTGTGATGCTGCTGCCATGCATGGGTGTTCTGCTTCCCCTAAGTGATGCCCTAGTGCTTTTTACCTTTGATTATATTGCTAAATAAATATTAGACCAAGGAAAATCCATTTCACAGTAACCTGGGGATTTGAGTTTTTAGTGCTTCCCTGGACTTTAAACGTTCCCCATGTCATCCCCAGGGTTTTCCACAGGGCATCGTTCAGAGCTGTTTTCAGGGGTGTTGTAATGCAGGTGTTTTCTGCAGGAGGTGTATGCGAGTGTGTTAATGCTGATCCACAAAGCAGTGTTATTGAGCAGGCCACGGACACGAGTGTACTTGCCTTTGTTTACGTTGGCCGCTGTCCTGGGCCGATTGTCACCACTACAGTTACTGGTGGAATGTTACCTTGGTGTGTGTGTGTGTGTGTGTGTGTGTGTGTGTGTGTGTTTAGTTGTTCGAGTGTCATGAGTAGTCTGACTTATCACTGATGTTGGCCATTCATTCGATATGTTTCTGTTTGTGTCTGTGTGCACTTGGGAAGCACAATACGTGCTGCACTCAGAAAATCTGTCAAAGTCCAAACTGTGCGTCAGTGTGTGCTTGTACTTCTAGGAACCCTACACATATTTGTCATTACAAATGTATGACTGCCTCATCTTCTGTTCTCTGTCAGGCCTATGAAGAAAAAGAATGAGAATCTGAATCTTTATTGACAAGTCAAGGGAGTTTTTCCTCCCCACTGTCGCCAAGTGCTTGCTCAAGGGGGATTTGTTGGGTTTTCCCCTATGTAATAATATTGATAACCGTAAGGTCTAGACATTACTTTGTAAAGTGTCCTGAGATGACTTTTGTTGTGATTTGGCACTATTCAAATAAAATTTGATTTGATTTTAAGTACTGTATGTTAAAACGCAAAGAATTTCTTCCTGCTCAGTGGCCCGCAGTGTGCATTAAAATAAAATGGAATAAAAACAGAATAGGTAAAGTCAAGAGACAAAAACAATAATCTATTGATAAATATACAGTATGTACATATATACAATAAAAAGAGCTATTAGATATGTACAGTGATTATATTTATATGTTAATGCACTGAGGTTTTTGCTGTGTCTTGTTAGAAATATAAACATGGGTTAACTGTTCATCAGTGTGACGGCCCGGGGGAGGAAACTCTCCTTGTCTCTAGTTGTTTTGTACAGTGACTTGTAACGCCGTCCAGAGGGGATTAGTTCAAACTGTTTGTGTCCAGGGTGTGAGGGGTCTGCAGAAATCTTCTCTGCCCTCCTTTTGAGGTATGCAGGTCCTCCATGGAGGGCAGGCTGGCGTCTGTTCCTGTCCTGTTTGATTGCTGAGCCAACCCAGACAGTAATGGAAGAACAGAGAACAGACTAGATGACTCCTTTGTAGAACTGTCAGCAGCTCCTGAGGCAGGGTGAATGTCCTCTGCTGTGCCTTCTTGGTGATGGTGTTGATGTTGGACGTCCACTGCAGGTCATGGGAGTTTGTGGAGCGCAGAATCGTGTAGGTCTCCACTGCTGATACAATGCTCCTGAATGTGGTGAGGAGGGTGAGGTGGGGGGCCTCCTCCTGAAATCCACTGTCATCTCCAGACTCCTCATGGTCTCGGATGGAACCCGAGACAGGCTGAGACCATTTTGTTTGGGATTGCTTCAACAGGAATGTACACATTTATCTGTGAAAATGTGTGCTGCTTTGCACTTCCAAAGCTGTGCATTCCTCTGGTCGTTTGTGTGTGTTCCACTGCTTGTGTACATTAGCTTGTTTTTACCTTGTCCATGGCATCTTCTCACCCAGGTACATGGTGTGTTTAAACTTGTGTAATAAGGTGGTATTTCCCGCTCTTTCCTCAGACATGGGACACGGTGTGCAGGTGAAGTTGCAGCAGCTGCAAACAATTCCCATTGCATTGTGGGAATTGCCTACAATGCCAGAATAGGGGGTGAGTAATGTTAGTGTTTATCTGTGTCTGACAGGTTTCTGTTTATCCAGCAGAAGTATATTATGGCTTGTGTCATAAGTTGAAAGGGTTGAAAACTACCACTGCTGAACATCTGTCTGTTCCTGTTGGTAATGCAATGCTGATTTTCATCTGCCAGTTATTCCACTAGCTTAGTTTAACAAAAACAGACTCTTTGGTTAAACTTTTTTTTTGTGTGTTCCCTGGCTGATCGTGTCTCACACAGCATCGTGAGGTCTGACTGTCTCCGTCTGTGCACTTGCATTTTTATGAGCGCAACAGCTAAAGAACCTTTAACCACAAGGTTTATGGAAATACATAAAGTAGTAAATAGGTCAAATGTTGGTCTGCATGTGTTATTTCTGTGTTTGTGTATCAGGTGTGCGAATGCTGGATGGAGATGTAACAGACATGGTGGAGGCCAAGTCTCTGAGCCTTCAGCCGCAGCACATCGACATCTACAGTGCCAGCTGGGGACCTGATGATGATGGAAAGACTGTGGATGGACCAGCATCTCTGGCCAGGCAGGCCTTCGAGAATGGCATCCGCATGGTGGGCACATGCATACGCACATATACAGAAACATGTACAAATAAACAGTGCTTCAGTACATAGCCAGAGCTTTGACATTGGTATTCACATGGTGAGAAAAGGGATAAACACACACTCCAAGCAGATGTGTGTTTCATGCTCATATACTCATGTGCCAAACTCTTTTCTATCTGTGCAGCTCCTCCAGACATTATAGAGTGTAGCCGTGGTTTGTTAACATATATTTATTTGCATATTTATAGCTCATTTTGTATAATAATACTGTGTTGTTGCTGTGTGGAGTAGAAAAGCGATAACAGAGGTTAACAGGGGTGGACTCCCTTACTGGTTACCTCTCTCACACACACACACACACACACACACATCTGTACATTCACAAAGTGTGCTACAAGTGGCTTTGCTTTTCTACCATTTGGTCAAGGAGATATAGGGGATAAATGGACCTCAGCGTTTTCTGACTAAAAACAATGACATGTTACACACAATGACAGCAGGCAGTGTGAGCAGAGGATAGCCCCTGTCTCTCCTGACAGGCTGAAGTGAGGCAGATACTGTTTCTGTCCAACTCAGCACGTGTATGTGCTTGTGTGCCCTCCTCTTGGTGTGTTTGTGAAGCTGACTGAGGAACGCATGCTTGTGAGTGGCACATTTACTTATGTGACACTCTGAAAAGACATTTTATCACAGAGGGCTGAGGTGTTAGAGATACCACTGACAGCTTTAGAGAGGGTTGTACTCTTACCTCGTTTGGGGTGGGGGGTGTAAGGACGGACGTACGAGAAAATGTGTCGTTGTGTTACTCATGCACATTTTTGTGTTTATATAGGCTGAACATGTCTGTGTTTATACTGTAGCTTTATCAATATAATGATCCATTAAAAATATTTCTTAACATTTTAAACACAAAATATTACACCTGTCACAGTTTCCCTGAGCCAAAGACGACAGCTGCATAATTACTTTTGTTCACCAACAATGCAGAACTGTAAGATATTCAATTTAGTTAAATAATATTAGAGAAAAGCTGAAAGAAAGTCACTTTCGGCTTTTCCCGTTTAGGGGTCACTACAGCGAATCGTCACACTAACGACTCGCATGTTGATATTTGGCACGTGTTTTACGCCGGATGCCCTTCCTGACGCAACCTGGAGCGGGAGCGCTGTGCCTTAACCACTAGCCTACCAGGGACGGCCTAATATTAGAGAAAAGCTGCAAATTCTCATATTTAAGAAGCTAAATATCTGTGAATGTTTGGCATTTTGTTAGAGTGAATGACTTAAGCCATCAATCCATGAAACTGGGTTTAAATCACTTAATTCTCTGACAGTAGGGTAACTTATTAATTGACAGTTTGTTTGGATAATGAATCATAAATTTCTTTTGACCTCTCGCTGGAGATTGCTGTCCATCACTTTCACATTCTGTTTCAACTCTCTCCTCTTCCTCTGTTCTGTCTCCTGTCCCCTTTGTCCTCTCTACTCACTGTTTTCTCTTTATGGTGAAGACTTAACGTTACAGTGACGTTACATTTAAGGTTTATGGTTAGGCAAGTAGTGGTTGTGTGTTAGAGATAGGGCAAGTCTCCAGGAAATAAATGGAAATCAATGTAGTGTCCTATGAAATGATGGAAATGCAACTGTGTATGTATGTGCATGCAAGAAGGAGTGTTGTTCAAGTGTGTATCTTGACAAATGTTGTGAATTGCAGTCAGGTTTTTTTTTTTTTTTTTTTTTTTTAACACTGACTCTTGGCTGAACTTTGCCTTCATCCACTCGGTTGGAGATCACCAGCACGGTGCCGCCCCTCGGTGCGTCTCCACTAGGTCCAAGGCTTACATCATTTTTCGCTTGGTCAATTCTGGAAGTATCATGTCTGACTGAAGCAGTGAAAGGCATCTGGCTTGAAAAGGTTTCCAGTGAGAAATAACTGAGGTGTAATACTCTATTAGTAAACAAAATGGAATCTTTAGTCACGCTTAGAGTTCATGTGCAGCTCACTTTGAGCCTTTCAGTTAACAAGATCCTCTAGAACAGTATTCATCCCAGTTGTCCTGTCTAACCTCTCCTGGAACAATAGATCTGAATATTAAACAGCTGCCTGGCTGCACATGTAATTGGCTTCAGTATTAAAAGAATAACTGTGTGCAATATTTACCCAAAATTTGGTAAAATGCAAAACATGAAATCATTGTAAAAACTCTTATTCTTATTTACTAATAGATTAGCTGTGTTAGCTAAAACAAACATTTGTCTTTACATGCCAGATTTATGACATAATTGCTTTGCTTCCTTTCATAAACATGCACAGTCATGGAGGCTGTTTGTGGCCTTTACTTTCATTCTTCAACTACAGATAATATCTTTGTTTGTGTAACATTTTCCAAAATACAAAACTCACAATCTTAAAAAGAAGGCTGCACTAGTATGTGCAGAACTGGCAAACAAAAATAATGAAACAAAGTAGGGCACAATAAATAGAGAGCGCCCACCACAAGATTGTAACAAAATGAAAATGTTGAATGAAGTAGACAGACATCAGAAAAACCACACTTTTTCTACACAATTCTATTTGCTGAGCTTGTGTCAAATCCTGTCAGATTTGCTACCAGACACAAAGAGCTGCCGATAATTTACACAGTCTCGCTGCTTACTGATCTTTTTTTGGCAGTTATGTTGTTGCTGGTGTTGATCTGCACTTTAAATACAAAACCTGTTACTGCGCTTCTGATCGACATCTAAAGAAGACTTAAAAAATAGGCCACAACAAGGTCTGGTAAGCAGTAACTTCCTGTAACTACTAAGAAAAATTTACAATCTCTTAATGTATCTTTTATGTATTTTTTTTTTCGTCAGGGGAGGAAGGGCCGTGGTTCTATCTTCGTATGGGCTTCAGGCAACGGTGGCCGCAGCAGAGACCACTGCTCCTGTGATGGCTACACCAACTCCATCTACACCATCTCCATCTCCAGCACAGCAGAGAGTGGGCGCAAACCCTGGTACCTGGAGGAATGCGCGTCCACGCTGACCACCACCTACAGCAGCGGGGAGAACTACGACCGAAAGATTGTAAGGACTGAAGTGTGCGTGGTGGACTTCAATAACTACTGCTCAATGCACACACGTATAAGAACATTCATCACTCATTCAAGTTCGTGTGGCCTACAGATGGGCACACACATTCTTTACAGTTTCTCTCCAGCTTTGTACAGTTACTGTAGAACCTCAAGTCAAGATTTTTATTTGCCATTTATGCATAAACAGACAGTCTGGCCATATAGGAATTCTTGTGCGGCTCTCCTTCCATATATCTGAATGTCAGTCCAATCCACTTGAGAATGTACTATCCTCTCTCTTCTAATGTTACTCAACCACTTTCACTTCTAAACCATTTCCAAGTTTGTGTGTCTTCAGATAATCCCTCAAACCTTTTGGTCCAGGAAAGATGCTTTGATGAGGGTTCAGGCTGGAAGTTAGCCAAGCTTTTCTTGGCTGACTGTCAAGCTGTCGGGCTAGTTGGCTGACTAAAGTCCATACAGCCTGAATGAACACTTAGCTTGTTAACAGCGTGTGTTATTTCCTCCTGTTGCTCTTTGTCCTTTGCTTCTCCTTGGGCATTGGGCAATTTTTGAGGAAACTGATGATTTGTGTCTGTGTGTGCTTCCTCTAGCGAGGTAGTTTATCAAAGCTGGACTTTGGGTTTCAGGTGTATCTAAATCCTCTTGATCCTCATGACTTCAGTCTCTCACTGTCTGTTTCCGCTTGTCCCTGTCATCCTGCCTTTGCTGTTTGCTCCTCTGCTTCTCCTCACCTCTGATACACTCTTCTCTTCTTCATCTGTCCTTATGGAAATTCCTTCTTTTATTTCCTCTTCATCTCTTGGTTTTGTCCACCTCTGATTTGATCTCCTTCTCCTCTGTCTGCAGATCACAACAGACCTGAGACATCGGTGTACAGACAGCCACACAGGGACATCAGCCTCCGCTCCCATGGCTGCTGCCATTGTTGCTTTGGCCCTAGAGGCAAAGTAAGACTAACTTAACCGTATCCCTCTAGTTTATCCTTTTGCCCCTTGCTTACCTTCTTCTACCGCCTTGTCCTCTGGCCTGATTAATCTACAAAGGGAACATCTGAAGCATTTTCTCACAAATGGCAATGTTGTGAAGTCATTGGTGGAGATTCATTTAACTACCTGGAAAAGCTTGTCTTAATTGTTTAATCTCATCCTAGGTGGGTACTGAGACACACACACAGGGGGTATAGAGGGTTTCATGTACCACTGACACTGGGCTATATGATACAGGGACATGCATGCTTGTAGATTAGCCTCTTGTTTTCAGTGGGAGCAGTACAACAAGTACAGTGCAAATGTACTTCTGGATGGTGGTCCAGTGAATGTAATGGTTTAAACACGTCATCTTAGTGTAATACTTTATACACCTGTGTGCTTTTTTGAAGTGATATATTCAGTGACATCAGTAGGGATCTGTTTGATGTAATGTGCTGATAGATGTCTGAGAAAGTGTAGCTTATTTGACCTCATGTACATTCAAAACAAGCGGGTTAGATCGACGTCATTGAAAGCTAGTGCTGTGCGATACAACTTTCCCCTTTTTGAGCCGATACCAAGTAAAACTCAGGCTGATACTTTGTATAAAAACGACGAGGGTACCAAGATGGGTCCAGAAAATGGAGGCTATATTAGGTGTATTTATAAGGACTTTTGACTTTTATTAACAACAAATGGTGCCACCCTCGTCACATTACTGTGAAGGGACATTGTGTAGCCAAGATTTTGAACTGTTAGCTGTGAGACTTTCCATACTACTTAGCTAGGAAGCTTTCACATGCCATCTTGGTTGTTGTTTACATCCTTCCTCCTGGCAAGTATTGCTTTCTTGTATTACGTGTATTGTTTTGCTTGATTAATTGTAGGCTACATCTTCTACAGTCTTGAGCAACTGTTACAAAGTTATTTCTCTGTGGAGATAATTAATTTATCATTATAGTGGCTCATGCGCAACAGAGCCGTGATTCACACATGACCATGACGGGTGGAAGAAGAAGCTGTTCCTATCTACTGGGTGTTATTTTGACGGTCCTGCTGATAGCGTAGTTACTTTTCACTGTGTCCCCTGTTGATGATAAAGTATACATTTGGGCTACGCCAAATTTGCTGAGTTTAGATAATCTATCTTTAATATGAGAAGTGATATTAGATCAGGAAATGTTGGGATCAGAAACCTCAGTATTCAAGAAGTCTCCTCTGCAAATCACTATTGAAAACTAAGCCCCCAGAGTTCAACCATACTGCAACAAAAGTCGGTTTATTTGTGATCACTGCATCAAAGTTGATTGCACCTATGATTTCCAGTTAAGCCTAACTGAATAAACAAGGTTATTAAAAAAACCTGTGAACACTACAGCTTCCTCAGTTTTGGTTTGAACAAGTAAGAAACTAGATTGTAAGACTTCATAAAGATCAGAGAGGATACAAGAGCATCAGTAGGTGACTGAACATAAGCTGAAGCACCGTTGTAGCTGTGGTTAGAGTTATAGGAAGAGCCATACTACAAGTGACAGAAGGTGCAGAGGGCCTCAAAAATAACTCCTTGTACATTCAGTATTTCCACATCTTTGCACTGAAAAACAGATGGGTGAGTGTTTTCTGACTTGCTACAAGGATTGTGTATGGAAACTGGTGTTCCAGTGAAGTCGACTTAACCAAATGACATCCAAGTAGAAAACCACTGCTCATAAAATGGCCCAAAACTGCAGGATTAAACTTTGCCACGAACCATTAAAAGAAGCCTGATGAATATTGGCAGCACATTAATCGATCAGATGAAACCAAAATAAATTTGTTTGGCTTAGATGACGTCCAGCATGTCTGGGGTTGATTTGGCCAGGACTGCCATAGCGACTACATAGTGCCGAGGGTGAACAAGATCTTTTATGCACTTTGATACCTATGGCGGCGTCTCAGTCTGTAAAAATGAAAGGACTCTTAATGTACTGAATAGATGTAGAATATGAATGGCCGCTGCATTTTCAAAAGCCTTTCAGTTTTAAGGGTAGCTTTCATATTCTGGTACACAAATAGTGATGTATCACAGATAGTCATCTTAAAATACAGTATATGGCTTTATTCTGTTTTCTTCTTTCTGTTTCTTCTTTGCTTTTAAACAAACAATTGAGAGCTCGGTTTCAGGATGTCCTGAAGGATGTAGCAGAATAAGTGCAAGCAGAATTCACACAGATGTTTCTGGGCCAGGTCCTCTCATGCCAAACGCTTCTGCTAGGGGCCAATATCAAAACATCATGAGAACAGAAGTAAAAAAAAACAAAAAAAAAAACACTAATACTGAAAGAGGTCACCCCCCCCAAACTGTTTGTGTCATGTCCTTGGTTTTTGTCTTTGGTACAGTAGATGCCTGCCTGCTCTTCTTTGAAACCTGTTGACATTATTAATTTGCAATAATTTCATGAATTGGTGCAGGTGCAGAGGCTCTGAATTGGTCTTTACCCCCTCAGTTAGCTGAGTTCACTTCATTTAACCTGGATAATCCAATCCAAATCCTCCCAGTAGAAAATATTTTGTTTCCAGGCAGTGCAGGGCACATAAGCCTGTTTCCTCAACAAGATTATCACACACTGCTTCTTGCCTGCCCGCTTTCCTCTGCTGGCTCTCACTTCTTGTCTGTCGTGCTTGCGTCGCTCCAGCACTGTCATGATTGTCATGATTTTTTTTCCTCCTCCGAGGCGAACTCTTTCAACTCATTCATTCAGTTAATCACATGGATAAGCTTGCATGCGTGCACACACGGGCAGAGAGAGGACAGGATGAAAGAGGGACAGGGAAACGGTTTAGACAAACTGTGCACGACCAATTGTATCTGATCTTATCTGGTGAACAAACATTCTGCGATAAACATGTCATGACACCGTTACGCTAGACTTCAGTAAACTCTGTTGTGAGGTCTTTTTCTCTTGATATGAGATTGGATTGGAACATGCTACTTCAGAAAACTGTTCCATGCGCTGTTCTCTGGCGAATTTGCCAAGTTTAAGATGTTTTAAGCACGTGATTTATTTATGAGCTAGAGTCTTCTCGTGGGAAGCAGCACAGTTTTAGAGCGACACAAACTTTTTGTTTCTTTTCTTTTGTCCTTGAAAGTAAAAAAAAAAAGAAAAGAAAAAAATGGAAAAGTGATTGAACATGGAGACTGGAGATTTCAGAGAGGAAATTAGGAGGATAAACGACTTGAGCAAGGATAACCTACCATACGGACCTCATCTCCTGGGAGGCTATAAGAAACCAAACAGGGACAGATGGGAAAATGAAAACTTTATTTCTTCTTTCTTTCTCTGCTTTCAAATTTAAACTATAGTGGGTCATTTAAAGTGGGGAAAATGCTGATTATACAGTAGTTTAGTGGGTAATCTTCCATCACTGGACTGAACCAAGATAAGATAGAGATTGACTGATGAAATGTTTGACATTTTGCATCTTAATTTTTCCGCTTCACCTGCTTTCTCCCTGCAGATTGCTTGTGTGCATTTCATCCATAATTACACTGGAGCTCTTAGAAACCTATATTAGACTTTCTGATTTGCTGCTGGTTTTCCCAGTATGCAAGCTGCTCCATTAATTAGTATTGGCTTGTTTATAGGAAAGCTGCCGTGGCCTAGATAACGATGCCAAGGTCTCTTTTAATTAATGACCATAAAACATTTATGGGGCCATAATTACACAGTGACAGCTAAGCCTATTAATATTGATCTGAACATTAATTATTCTGACTTTTTATTGCACTTATCTGTGCCACCATTGCTTAATTATTTTATTTTTTTACTTGATTTAATTTTCAGCTCTTTAAATGATTTTCTTCAGTTAGATTTGATACATGTGAGGGCATTACTGAGTTTTGAACATATTTAAGGGCCTGTTATTGCTTGTTTAAAAAGTACTGCTGGTTTCAAGCTCTCCCCATATGGAACAATCCTGGCTTGACTGTAACGGCAGATACACACCAAGCTGATGTGAAAGAACTAGTGGCGACGGTGGCCGACCTTTGGGTCGCCTCAGGTCGAAATGTGACACTTGAGCACACTACACAGACTATAGCCAACGGCTGACCAGAATGCACATTCTGCACCTGCGTGACAGAAATAACTCCCCCTACCAGCACTTGACGGTATCTATATTCTCCATTCAGAAAGGGAAAGAAGAAGAGCTAGAATGTGGAAGTATAAACTACAACAAACACCTCGTTCAAAACGGCTGCTTTCTATAGCTGCTTCTAATTGACCTAAGAAGTTGCAAATGACACTGCCCTTGAACCTTTAGTTGTGGAAGAAGAAAGGAGGTTGTGGAGGTGAAAAACAAGGAGAAACTGCACTAAATCAGTGAAATTATGGATGCTACAGTGACAGGCTGAAGGGGCTTTCTTGAACTGTTCTCTCCTTGTGCGCTGATTCACTAAGCTCAACAGGCAATCAGGCCTGACCGCCGACACAGATTCAACACCTATAATTGGCTGAAAAGCCGCCAATGAAGGCCAACAAGTGCGGGACACACTGGGAAGACAAGCCCTGCTAGACGCTCACCGATGGCCCGGCCGACCGTCAGCTTGGCGTGTCTCTTCACTAACACAAACAGGTTGACTGGTCTGGATTTTATTTGTGTATTATTTAATTTTCTTCTCACCCTGTGCAACCCTAAAGAAAAATGTAACTTTAAGGAACATAGACATTTTTATGTACAAGTATAAACTGTTTTACATTAAAAAAACATAAATAATGTTTAGATCTGTATAATAAAAATCCAACGTCCTACAAAACCAAACAGAATTGGTAACCTGAACTCAAGTTTATATACTCATCTAACACTACTTACTACTACTACTACTACTCCACAAGTACACATCAAATTGCCAGAACATTTACAGAATAAAGTGCAAGTGTGAAGGAGGCTTTTGACTGTAAGCTGTGAAAGTGGTCTGCTAAGTGTATGAGACTTTCTTGTTCTCATGTTTAGAACTTCAAAAGTCTTCTAGTGTGTTTTTGGTTCAAGAGATCCCAGGAGACTGTCAAATCAAAGAACCTGCTCTTATGCCAGTGCACGTCGGGCAGGGGCATAGTTCAGATCGGACTCATTTTGCTGCCTGTTGCTCTGTGTCTCCCTGTCACATTATACCTGTATATCTTCTTAAATTTCAAAATCTGAACATTGGGTCGCAAACCTTAAAGATTAGTTTTAGGTCAACAGATTCAGAGTAGTGTGGATTCTCGAGGGCTCAGATGGCAAGGGGCTGACATGAGGGTTAGGAACGAAGCATCTGGCCGGCATATGAGATGGAAGGGAATCCCAGGAAACTTTGTGACCCACTTCTTCCTGCTTTCTCCCTTTAATGTAGAGTTTGGACATCAAAGCAGTCGAGACACATGGCTGCCATCTCATAATGGATCTCGCATGAGATCTGAGAAAGCAGGGATGGATGGATGGATGGATGGATAGGCGGCTGTGCTCTCCATATATGCCTTTGTAATTTCCTCTCATTGTAATCTTCCACCTATTGTATATTACATTTTTTTTTAACCTTGGTTTACATTCCATCCTCTTTCTCCCTCCTTCCCCTCTTATTCTAAACTTGTTTGTCTTTCACCCGTACCTGTCCTCCCATATCTTGTCTGAATTTACATGCATATTGAAGATACTGTATTTGTTTTTGTTTTGCTCTCCAGGTTCTGCTCTTTGTTCAACAACACAATAAATTATTCAAACATTTTTCCTCATCATCATTTTTGTATTTACATAATCAGTGCTGTCTGACCTTGTCATTTCTGAGTTTGTGTGTGTATAGATTTGCATATTTATTTTATTTACAATGTATGTGTGTCTGAGCTAGAAAAGCAGTCACTATTTATTTACGTAGTCTGTGCCCAGTTATGTGTTACACATCAGTCCCTGGATTTTTATTTTAATTAATTATTTTATTTTGACATTACATTAAATAAGTTCGTTTGTGTGTATTTTGTTCCACTAGTCCTCTTCTAACATGGAGGGATGTACAGCACATTATTGTAAAGACCTCTAGAGCCGGGCATCTCAGCGCTCCTGACTGGAAGACAAATGCTGCTGGTTACAATGGTACACACACACACACACACACACACACACACACGCACACGCCCACGCACACAGACCTAATGTACATATAGATGTTGCTTCAAATGCTGCTGTAGATGTAAACCTTCCAAAACAATAAAATCAAATCAAAAGTATTTGAGGTGATGTTACATCAGAAAAATGTTTGATAGCACCACTTGGCAAATAGTTAGGCTTTATACTCAGGCTTCCCAAAATATCTTGGTTTTGAGCTGTGTTTTTGTAACTTGTGAAAGTGATGGTAACTGTCATGAGGAATAAAAGAAAAATACACAAGTTGCAGAGAAATCAATATGTATTTTTCACACTCCTGGATTTGATTTCTCCAGTGAGATGATGGGTGGTGAGCAGAATCCAAAATTTAAACTACTGTTCCACCAGCAACCGTCTCAGGGTTTGTGTGGTGGTTGCTGTTTTGTTACTTTGTGAGTGTGCATTTCAGTGTGTATGCATACTTATATGTGTATATGGGAAAGAAAAGATGAGAGTGTGAACTAAGATTGTTCAAAGTTTTTTCATAGAGAAACGACACAGGGAGAAGTATAAAAAATTATTTAATTAGCTGTACCCATAGGTTGTCAAGTTTCCTTCCTCTTTACATATTTAGACAACTTCCTTGCAAATTTGTTTGGGCACATTTTCACCTACACAATAGTCTTTACCAATAATCCACAAACGACACAGCACTAGATGCCTTTTAAGGATACAGAAGCTGCAGACTTGTTCAGAGCTCTTGCCATTGATTCTTACTCTGATTCTCACCTTTTTCATATTATTTGTTATTGTGGTATTAGTAGCTCAGGCTGGGTAACAAACACAATCTTATTCATTTTATCTTTTTTTGATAAACTGTTACTTGTGTGTGAAACAGTCTCCAGTGAAGTGTGATCAACATGTATTTGTGCTACAGTCAGCCACCTGTATGGCTTTGGTCTGATGGATGCTGAGGCGATGGTGAAGGAGGCAGAGCGATGGAAGCAAGTCCCTGTTCAGCACATCTGTGTAGAAAGCGCAGACCGACAATACAGGTAGAATATATACACACAGACACAAACCTATCTTAACGTACCACAGTTCAAAAGTATGGGTAAAAGTATGAGGACAGTGAGACATTATACCCATATGTTATCGTCAAACATCTCATTCCAAAACCATGGGCGTTAATCTGCTGCTGTAACAGCCTCCATTGTTCTGGGAAGGCTTTGCACAACATTTTGGAACCTGGCTGCATGGATTTGCACACAATAGAGCCTCAAGAGCACCGGTGAGGTCAGCCGCTGCTGTCGGGTGAAGTCAGGGCTCTGTGCCAGCCTTCAGCAACACCCTAGGAAAACTGCTTTTTCATGGTCTTCACTTTGTGTATGGGGGGAAATGACCTTCCCCAAACTGTTGCTGCAAAGCCAGAAGGACCATTGTCTAAAATAGTATGCTGGAGCCCTGAGATTTTCTTCACTTGGCACTAAATTTGCTAAAACCAAAAATTTAAATGAAATTTTAATTTGAAATTGAAATTTGAAACCAACAGAGATGATTTAATATAGTTGTTACATTATAAATACAGATGGAATATATTGTTTTCTGTGCACCTCTCTTACACCACTACCCCTTTTTTCCTCTCAGTATGTTCCATTCTCTCTCTGTTGTACTTAGTTGTCTGTCTTTTGTTTCTCTCCTTTTTTTTCCTCTTCCTGGTGTTTTATGCACTGGTGTATGTTTGAGAGCATGGTTGTGCAAGCTGTACCTTGATAGGGGCCAAGCATTAGTTCTGGCAGGGTGGTTCTCACTTAAGACCTTTACTGTGCACACATACACACATATTCACACACATAGAGAGAGCCAAGGCTTCACAGCTTGTTATTCTTGATGCAGCTGGAAGTCTGAGCACTGTTCTGTGTTAGGCCCGGCTGGCTGAGCTTGGGCCCAGAACTGGTTTGCTTTCAGTCCAAGGTTCAGTGTCCAGCGACTGCAGCATTATCAGTGTCATTCTGTCTGTTCTGCTCCAGTGCACAAGTCGGTCCATATGAGGATTATGTAAACTACAGCTTGTGTCAGATGTAGTCATGCCCAGGGTTCCACATTCGTGTAGTAATGTGTGTGGAGAGTTGCTGCATGAACGAAATAAAAACAATCCAGTGATTTTAGTCTCCTTTTTTCCCATGTGTAGCATTTAGTAGCCCTAGAGATGTGAAATGGTCAGTCACACTTTGTTGAGCTTAAGCCTTGTTCATAAACAAATTGCTCCTGGTCCATCCAGCCAAATGCTTACTGAGAATAATAATAATAATTAAAAAAACAGGGATTTGCCATCAAAATAAAAAGGCCTTGTTTAGTTTTTGGTACAAAAGCAAAAAAGGCATGAAAGTTCTATGCGTACAGTTCAAAAGTGAATTTTCAGACTGCCCCAAAAAGTTTAAAACATTCTTTTTCCCAAGTGAATGACTTGGTAATGCATTAATTTATGCATAAATGTGTCCATACTTTCTTATATACTGAACATGTTTGTGATTTGTGAGATGCTGAAGGCAAAGCAAGCAAAGGAGAAATCGTGTCTGCATTTGTGCTCTTGAAACAGACCTATGTGTGTTGCTTTTCCTTTGTTGGTACTCTCTTGATGTATACTGTTATGTGTGTGTTCTGTACTTCAGCTGTTAGTAACTTGCTTCATAAAAGCAACCGCCACCTTACCGCTGTTTCCACACACCCTCTGGCTGGCCCCTCTGCCTGCGTTTGGTAATGTCTGTCTGCAACAGCTCGAATCACTCCACTTGGAGCACGCACCAGGAAAACTGCCTGACCCTGTGTGCAATCAGGCCGGCGGTAATCAGCTGTGCATCGGCTGTGTTCGGCCCCATGTGTATGGCTCAGTTATCTGTGTTGTGTCATGGAGAAGCCAGAGCTGTGATATCAGCCCCAGACTCCCCAGCCATTGCTGCTGTCCACTTTCCAAACAGTCATCAACTACTTACAAGATGCAATTATTGTTTTCTCTCTGTTGTTCAATCCACCAGGTTTGGCAGAGTTTAAGTCAGTTTTGTGGTATGGTTTGTTTTTAGTAGCTTTAATGGAAATTGTCCCTCAAGAACTGGCTGCTCACTGTGTAACTGAGCAGAGGCAAAGTTGAAGGACAAAGGGAGAAATAGTTATGAATCGTTTATCTCAGTTTTCTGAAGAGAAACTATTCATAACACTGCTTTGAATAATAAACCATTGTCTTCTTATCTACTCATTTACTGATTTTATTGATATGAGAATATGGATTATCAGTGAAGTGTCCACTAGCACCACTTGGTCTGAACGGCAACACTTTTAGTAATCACATTAGATGCAATGTTGCTCTTTGTCTCATTATATGTTATATGTGAGGAATATGTTGTTCCAAGAAAGCTTTGACACAACTAAAGGTGGTGTTTACCATTTGGTAATTGTTTCAGGGACATTTTCCTCTCTGTGAGTGTTTTATCTCTTAGTCCTTAACACTGTCATTGCCTTAACAACAGAAAATCTAATAAAATGGTTTCAAATACAGGATCAAATGGCACAGGTCACTGATCTTAATTATCTCTCAACCCTCTGCCCTGCAAAAATAATTGTAGTAATCCTTTTATGTCTTATTTGACCAACAAGAGTAATTCACCAGTTCATGTTTTAGTTCCAGTGAATAAACCTTGCATGTAATCCACTGCTGCCGTGAGTTAATGTGTCGAGTTGGCTCCGCTGCTGCATGTGCAACTGCTGTGCAACAGTCTTTCTCTGGCAAGATGGTATTCATTGTCCACTGTACTGAACCGGTCTGTTTTTTTTTTTTTTTTTGTTTTACTGTTTTTGGTGCGGTATCATTAATATATTAGATCATACCACAGATGTTGTTGGATGTTTGCACTGATCTTTCTGTTGTGGTTTCTTTGGCTGGTTGAAGTTTAAGAAATGGAATTTGCACACTCTATGGATTGTGGATTAAATGAAAAGAAATGACATGCAATCGCTTTTATGGGTCCCTTGGTGTATTGAGAGTTGATATTTAGTGTTATGTCAGTCACTAACAGCATTTTTGGCAAGAGTTGACATGGCAGAATGTCTCACTGTGGTGAGACACTTGTATTCCCCAGCCTCACTCCTGGCAAGAGCAACTCGAGCAAAAGTACTGACCTGATTATGGCTGCGGACACAAATCCTGTGTAGTGAAGATGAATGCCAGTTTTACTTTACTTTTTGTGATTTACTTTAACCAACCATCTGTAACTAAAACCCCAAAAAGGACAGATTTTGCGATTAGAATGGTGTTGAATGTGAAACTGAATGTGATTTGATTTATTCTTTCAAGCATGTAAAGACAGTTGATATGTCAACACACATAATTTTACACATATCCAACAAATGCTAATCCAATATCAATTTGCTTATACCTAGTACATGCTTGAATGGAGTAGGAAGAAATCAGACTTATCCAGTCCTACCCCATGACATCATCTTACATCATTGGTTTGCAAACAGTATCTCTTCATAAATAATTCTCTTCTACACCACACAAGTAATATACTAAAAAAAT